GATAGAGAGTTTTGCATTCAGAATTTTTCTTTTTATAAGATGGAGAAATTTAAAAATTGCTATAAAATTGCCAAAAAATATTTTTTTTTTTGAAATTTATGCCACTGATGCGGGATAGTTTGCTGGATATTTTGCCATCAAAATCTTATTTTCATAAAAATGACAGATAGAGACATTGAATATAGTCCCTCGATATAACAAACAATATTCCATGCAATATACCGGTTGTATCTCAAATTTTCATATTACCAGTTATTATGAACTATAGGGTTATGTAAACTGTTGTAAACATTCTGACCTTTCCATCAAGTGTAAGAAAAGTCTTTCTTTTAATTAAATTGCAAACCTCAAGCTTGTAGCTTGTACTAAAGAAAATAGTTGTGCATTTATAGAAAATTTCAATTTTGAAGATATTAATTTATAAAGGCTTTAAAAAATTCGTCAAAAATTAGTGCAATATCGGATTTTTACTGCTTTTAACAATAAGATTAGTTCTAGGTAAAAGGCGTCAAAAATAAACAACAACTCTTCAATGATTTACAACTCAAAATTTTACCACTTTTTTCTCACTTTTTTCCTGGGTGGTTAATTATATAACTATATAAGAGCCGGAAAAATTTATTTAAAAAAGTTTTAATAACTTACATTTTCTTTTGTACACTCCAAGATGTATTATTTGCTAATTTACCCGCTAATACCACTTCATGTGATATTAATTTATTAGCATTTGATGGTTTATTGCCAGAATCTAAAAAAAACAACAATTTTAATAAAAAATCAGAAACATTTTAATAATTGCCTATTAGTGCAAGGATCTGAAAAATGTAAAATTTACTTTTTACGATCTACAAATTCTAAAATAAAAGCAAAAAGTCGTCAGTTATCGTCAGAATTAGATAATTTCTTTAATTTTTAGTTAAGTCATTCTTGCACTACAATTTGTTTATAAGAAAATTACCTGTTGCTTCTTTTCTTAATTTATTTATAGCTAACATAGCACTACTTTTATAAATAACTGGTGTATTGCATTTTTTAAAAACAGCCAATTCTTCTGTCTGTGCCTGTATATAATGGAAGGAATTAAAATTGTAACATATAGTAAACAAAACAAAATTTTTCTTAATTACCCTTTCCCAAGCATCTGCTGTATTTGGATACATAGCGAGGCAATGTTTAACCATCATGTCATAATACTGCATACGTATGTTAAATGAAATTTTGGTAGAATTTGCTTCCAGCACGGGTGGTTTAGGTTGTTTAGTTGCCTCAGTTGCTGTGGCTTTTTCTGTGATTTTGTGAGCTACTCTTGATCCAGCCTTACTGGTTTGTGCTGGGGTAAATGCTGGTCTTTTTTCTGCTCTTAATTCTTCGACCTTCTTTTTAGCCCGTTCCAACGCAATAATATTTGCCACTGGGGCTATCATTGAGCGGCCTGTAAATGAAATTCTTAATTTGTTAAAAAAAAATAATATTTTTTTTACTAACCTATGGGTTTTGATGGTGGCGTTAAATAAGATTTTGGTACGAGTGGGGTAAGCGTCTTTTCTTTAACTTTGCGTAGGGCTTCATTTGCTTCACGAACTTTTTCCTCGGCCTCCCTTAATGCAGCAGCTGCTGCTGCAGCCTCCTCTTCATGCTTGCGTTTAATGGCATCTTGACGGTCAAAAATTGCCTAAGAGGATAACATATATTATAAAAAATTATACTTCTTTCAAATAAAACCTAAATTATTATTTAATGCCGAAATTAAAAAAAGTTCTACCTGCATAGCATTCTTTCGATGATCCGGTTTATGTACAACAACCGGCATATGAGATTTATTTTTATCAGCATTTTCGTATGCAACCCGTTTTTTGCTAGGGGCATTTAATGCATCCTCTTCATCTAAAGCTTTACGTTTTAATGACTCCTTTTCCTTTTCTGCTTCTACTTTGGAATTTTCATTAGCTGCATTGGTCTGATGAAGTGATGCAAATTCTTGTTCCAATTGATCATAAATCATTTCACATTCTTTCATAATATCCTCTTCTGTAGTAGCAAATATTGCGGAAGTATCCTCCATTATTAAATCAGAATTTTCAGTCTTTAAATTTGAAGATGATGATTCTTTTGAAGATATCTTATCGCTACTAGAATGTTTACTTGAAGACGAAGAAGACGTTTTAGAAGAGGATGAAGATTTAGCTTTCGAGGAAGAGTTAGATGAAGAAGAATTGTATTTTTTATCAGTAGATGAAGATGAAGAGGATACCTTCGATTTTGATTCTTTACTATCTTTATCCCTTGTTGATGATTTACGGGATGATGATGATGATGATGATGAAGATTTATGTTTTGAGGAGGAGGAAGATGATGATTTATGATCTTTATCGCGTTGTTTAGAATCTCTCTCCTTACGTTTATCATCTTCTTTTTTGGTTTTTGACGAGTCCGTCGTTTCTTTTGACCTAGAAGAGGATTTGTGATGTTTGTGTCTGCTACTAGAATGAGATGATGTTGAAGAATCCCTTCGTTTGTGCTTATCTTTGTCGGAACTTTCACTGCCGCTGCTAGGTTTCTTTAGTTGTTCTTCTTTATTTTTGTGAGAGTCATCTTTTTCGATTTCTTTACTATTACAGTCCAATGATTCATCTTCGTCGGAGAATTTTGCCAACTCCGAGTTATCATTTTCAATAATTCCTGTTAGTTCGTTCAACTCATCATTGCAATCATCTAAATCCAAATTGACACTTTCTTGACTGTTCTCATCAAGTTGCTGTGTAGTCGGTGCTGGAATATACACTGGCGCAGAATCTAGTGATTTACGTTTTATTGAAGGAGAAGCGTTAATTGCAGGCTTTTCTGGTTGATATTCCAATTTTGTTTTCTTTTTCAACACCGATGGTAGGGATAATTCTGGCAGAGGCAAAGCCAAGAGTTTTGGTGTAGCCTTATATTCTGGTGCTGACTGCACTGCTGCCGTTGGTGCAATTACCTTCTTTTCTATAACTTCTGCAAAAAGAAATCATTTTTTACAATTTAATGTTATGGAAAATGCCTAAGTTCATGTGTACCTTTCCGGACATGCCTGAAATGACAGTAGGGTCGATGACATGTAGCTGCCGCAGTGACCCCAGTTTCAATGTCATTACGTGTACTAGTGGCGGCCGTCCCATCGTAATAAGGACATACATAACTTTTAAATAAACCAGTCGAGGGTAACATGACCCCCGTTTAAAATAACAAAAATTAATTTATTTAATTGAAAAATATTAAATGTCTTCTTTAAGAATATTACATTAAAAAAACAAAGAATTTGCACAAGCATTGGATTGTGAAAATATAGTGTAACTTCCCACAGTTGCTTTAATTAAGTACTACGATTGCTTTTTGTAAACTCTTTCGAAGTTGAATTTGTTTAAAATTTTGATTTTATTATTCAAAATTTGAAAATATTATATTATAAAATTATATAATCATATATATAAATATATTTTTAATTAAAATTTTGTTTTAATTTGTCAATTTTTCATGATATAAGATACTTTTGTTTACAGTACTATTATGATCAACTATGGATACACAGCTGCTTATAAATTTTGTGAAATTATTGAACAGTGCTGCCAAGTTAACAACTACCGGCGTAAGACAGAGACGTAACAATATTGAACTGCCGGTGTTTACTTTATACATAAATGTTAACAGTATTTTATTAACATTTCTTAAGCGCCTTAACAAATTTTTATTATCATAATAAAAAATTAGCAGGTGCAGACGGCATTTATTAGCGTTATAAGGTCGTTATGACAGTGTTGTCTAAACAATTGTTTACAATAAAATGACGTTGTCTTGATAACGTCATTTTATTGTAAAATTAGTTTAGAATTTTGTTTTTGTGCAATTAAAATAGATTTTTAACATTAGTTTTAGTGAAATTAGTGTTTATTTACAAAATTTGCATTTAATTTTAATTGTTTTTATAAAATATAGCATTATTTCAATAAAATTATCTGTGAGTGATAGAATCAACGTTTTGTTACCCCTGTGTATTAACATAAACAAAAAACTGACAATTTTTCTGCCCACGTTTTGTCAACAAAATCAAATATCTATTAACTGTAATAATATTTAAATTTGTCTGTCGTTATGGTAGGTAGTTATTTTTACTGATCTAATTAATTTGCTATAACAACACACCGAAATAATGTTGACAGTTACCGTTTTACTAAACGGAAGGAAAGAAAGATTATATAAATAAATTTTAAATAAATTATTAATACTCACATAAATATGATACCAAATTTATGTATAGGTAGTAAAAATTAAATAAAATATTAATTTTAAACCAAATTTCAAATGTAATTGCATATACTGCTAAAAATTACTTTCCCAATTAAATATTTTAAATTTCCCATGCCTGGTATATTTTTGTAATTTTACTTTTTCAATGAAAGAACAGGAATTAAAATTAATTTTAATTAAAGTATAAATTACTTTTCGATATTATAAGTATTCTGGCGAATATCTTCAAAAAGCTTCAGGTAAAAAGTATTTAAAATTTAAACAAAATGTAAACAATTTATGCAAATTTTACAATAACAATGTCAACGTAAACGAAAGAAATAAAAACATAAAATCTAAAATATGTATGAATGTATATATATATGTACATATGTATGTCAGTACAAAGTCCATTAAAACAATAACATCAAATAGTAAATTGCACTCTTTGTGTTTATTTTAAATTTGTTTTATCAGATTAATACACCAATCCACATTACTAAATAATAATCTAGTCTAACTAATTAGACATTCAACTTAAATTATATTTGTTTACTTTTGTATAATTGTGTGTATGTAGTATATTATTGTATTTCTTTAATTTGTTATTTGTTGTTCTACATGTATTGTTTGCTATGCAATTTCTTCTTACATTTTATAAATGTAAAAAAATTACTAATTTTTTTTCTTGCTCATATTTTTATATTCTTTCGCATTCGTTTATTGTTTTGTTGATATCACTTTGTCCAATTTGTAGGCTTTTACCGGCTATAAGTTAATTCAGTCTTGTTTATATTTTTAAAACGTTCGGTTGTGTTTTTTGTCTGTTGAAAGCCAGACAAACCAGCGTAAGATTTTCAGTATATTTTGCAATCTATTGAAGTGTTCAAAGGTCAGTTTATGAAGTATTAGGCATTTTTGTTGTTAAAAAAATTATAACAAAAATAGATGGAACAGGTATATTTATCACTTTAATTGAATTTAATAAAAAAATTACATACACATACATATATGATATCACACGCATCTTCCTTTAATAAAAGGGTAAAATCACCTAAGAGGGATTTAAATTGAACTTTGATCGACTGTAATGGTTGGTATGCATGTACATTAGATGTATCCAAAAATACCTATGATTTTTGCTCAGATGGGTGTTATTTTGATTATTAGGTTCTAAAACTTTCTTGTGTAAAATTTTAGTAAAATCGCAGTAAAGTCTAATATCGATTAAAAATTATTAAATTGGCTAAATAATAGGTTTTTTTGATTTCTTAAAAAATATCAACCTATAGGTATAAAGTCATATAATATAAAGCATATAAAATAGTTATATTCTTTACCGCTATGTGAAGTAATGGAGGGTATAATGTGTGCTCCTTCAACCATCTTTAAGTATTCTAATCAAGGTTTCGAATTGATGTAGTTATCCTCTTCCATTACTATAATCAAAATATATGTATGTAGGTTTCCAAATTAACTCAAATTATCCAAGTTCAATTGGTTTAAAACTGAATTTAACTATTTTATCTAGATCCCATAGAAATGTTATCCAAATATGTTATCCAAACCGAAACATGTATGTATGTAGTTAGAAATAAATCATCTACGACCCATATTTTGAAGAATTACAAACTAAATGATAAAATCAATTCATTTTTTTAGTGGTGACTATAAAATTAATAAGTTCATAGATGTGGTCAATTTTTATACGATATTTGCTGTGTACACATCGGACAATAAATTTTTATGATTAAATTGATAAAATCTTTAATTAAAATATTTATAATTACGTACATACATATGTATGTATACAGAAAATAAACAAAAATGTAAAATATAATTGTTTTGTTAATTTACCTATTGATTTAAGTTGATACCAAAAGCAGACGGTTCTTATCAAGGGAATATGCATAAATACGTACATTCATACGTGTGTATGTACATATGTTTATCTGGTATTTAATTATAATTAATTAAACACAGGTTTGTGATTAATAAATATAGACCAACAAGCAAAGTACAAATATAACAATATTATTGTTCTCTTATCAATACTGTCTATGGCATACGTCCATTGAGAACACCACGAACGCAACGACCGATTATTTATTAATTTTAATAGTTTTCAGAGCCATTTTTTCAATTTATAACCCATTATGGATCGGGCGTCTATTTACTTCATGGACGAAAGTCAACAAAATACTTACGATTTTGATGAAGAATTACCACCGCTTCCCCTGCCAGATTTACACGATACTATGCAAAGATATTACGAAAGTGTTAAACCTTTTGGAACTGCAGAAGAGTTGGCTGTTACACGTAAAGCTATAGAGGATTTTGAAAATGGTATTGGGTCTGAATTACATGGTAAACTAAAAGAACGGGCAGGCAAATTAAAAAATTGGCTAGGTGAATGGTGGGATGCCTATGCTTATCACATGCTAAGATTACCACTAAATCCCTATATTGTAATGGCTATGCCCGTCAAATTGGAAGTTATTGGTCTTACTGAAACTCCAGAAATGGCCTTAAAGGTAGAGTATTATTTATTATAACTATAAAATATTTAATTCTTATAAAATTTAAAATCAATTTCTATTAACAGAATTTAGCACGTTTTGCTTATCACACTATTGAATTTTGGGATTTACTGCATAAGGCCACGATTAAACCGTTATCTTCAAATGGTGGTAAAATTAAGTATTCCTCTGCTTTGTATAAACGTTTCTATTCCACCAGCCGTATTCCAGGTTTAGAAATTGATCACATAGAATCGCATTTCAAGACTGGTAAGTGAAGAAATAATTTGTAATAATTATAGGGAAATAACTTCATTTTATAATATATAATTTTAGTTAAAGATGGTAAAACACCCTCCCACTGCTTGGTTTCGGGTAAAGGTCGTATTTTCATGTTTGATTGCTTACATCCCAGCGATGGTACCTTAATTACTCCTCTAGAAATTTTAGTGGTACTTCAAAGAATACGCAGTATTTTAGATTACGAACCAATGGGTGATTGTGTACCAGTTTTAACACATGATGATCGTACTAGTTGGGCAGAGGTAAGCAAATTGACTAATTCTGATAGTATTTAATTTTTTTTTCACGTCACAACATAATTGAATTAAAGAATTTTATTTATACCTCTAATTAGTTTGATAACAAACATACATACTTTTATTTAGTGTAAGATAGTCTTAACTAAAAAATACAGTTTCAAACAAAACATGACACTATTATCGGTCAAATATGGCTAATTATAACATAAACCGTTAATTTTGAAAGTGGTATGAGTCCACTTTTCAAAAAAAAAAATTAGTTGAAAAAAGAGTTACATACATATAAGCTATTAAATGGGATCTTTTTGTATCCAAAAAAAAAAAAAATAAATCAAAAATTCTCAAAAAAAATGAGATTTTTCGAGCATCTGTGCAAATAGTTAAAAACACCGAAAATCTAGCAAACTCCTAATACAATGCAATATTTCTATATAATAAAATAATAAATTTAAATTTAATAATAATAATGTTTCTTATAAAATTGGTATTAGTGCATTTATGCATGATAAATAATAAATTTGAAAACAATATTTTAAAATTATTGCTTTTGAAAATGGTATGAGTCCATTAAAAATTGAAAAATAAAGTATTTTTGCAATATATGTATATTTAAAGTTTTATATCGAGGGACTATATTCAATAGTCTCTATCTAAAATAATACAAGTTTTCAGGAGAGCAAAAAAACTGTTTATTTCGCTAGTTCGTGAAGATTTTTTAATTTTTTCTTTTACAATATATTTTTACGACCATATTCTAAACCATTATATAAAAAGAATTTTAATTTTTGCATTATTTACAAAATTATTCACAAATTTATATCAGATAGAGCTTATTTTTCTACGAAAATGTTCATTCAACCAACAGATAGAGTTTTTCATGGAAACATAAAATTTTTATTTGAATTAAAATCAATAAATATTATATTTTATACAATTTAATGGAGGAAAAGAAACCAAATTGTTTAAAAAGCAACAGATTATAATGTTTTGGTCCAAAATCAATGTTATATGGTTAAACACGACAATAAAATTGATTTAATTAGTATCATAATGAGCGATATCTCAAAAACTATTAGACCGATTTTAAATATTTTGACGGATTTGTGTTCAGTATGTCCAAATTATTAAGAAGACTTGTTTTGCAACAGAAAATTATCCAAAGGGATCGAGTTTGAAGCAATTTTTGGATAAGATAGAGAGGTTTGCATTCAGAATTTTTCTTTTTTTAAGATAGAGAAATTTAAAAAATGCTATAAAATTGCCAAAAAATATTTTTTTTCTTTGAAATTTATATCACTGATGCGCGATAGTTTGCTGAATATTTTGCCATCAAAATCTCATTTTCATAAAAATGTCAGATAGCGACTATTGAATATAGTCCCTCGATATATTATGAACATTTTGAATCCATTTCAGAAATATGTACATGTAAATTACCTTTACGTCAAGCACACATATTTTTAAAAATATTTAAATGCAAAATGTAGACATTTATATAGCTAAAATGGGCCTTCTATATATTCGACAGCATATTATTGGTTAATGAAGTGAGTTAAAACTCTAATTAGCTAATGATATAAAAATCATTTGTATTGAATGTTAATTATTCCAAAATCACTAAAAGATTTTTACGAATAGCAATTCTATATAAGACAATTGGTATGCTTTAAGATCAATGTAATTAACATAATTTTATTTCCTTTACAGAATCGCACACGTTTATTAGAGCTGTCGCCCAATAATAAAGACACTTTGAAATTGATAGAAAGTTCTTGTGTAGTTTTAGTGCTCGATGAAAATGAGCCGCGGGACTATGCCGAAATTTCACAAGCAGCCGTATATGGTGATTATCATTCAAAGTGGGGTGATCGTAGCAGTACCTTAATCAGTTACAAAAATGGAAAATTCGCTTGTGTGGGAGAGGTAATAATTATTCATATATATCTACTTAAATATACCTAACTAAAGTAACAATTAATTTAATACTGATTTAGCATTCCTGTTATGATGGCACTGTTAGTGTTAGCTACATTTTGTTTATACAACTAAGTTTAATTGAAGAACCTGAACCCAATTGGGATGAATGCAATTTGATGCCTTTGGTACCAATAAGAGAAATAAAATTTGTATTAAATGACAAATTGAGATCGGAAATAGAACGCGTTAAACAGGCTTGTGATGAAAGAGTATGTTAAAAATAACAACAGTATTAAGGAAATTTTTGATGTATGTAATATATTTTCTTACTATTTTAGGGTCATGATGTTTTAATCACTCATGAATTATTTGAAGATTATGGTAAAGAATATATTAAGACATGTAAATTACATCCAGATTCTTTTGTACAAGTCATTATGCAATTAGCATACACAGAAATGCACGAAGAGTAAGTCAAATACAAATTTTCGTGGTTATGACAATTAAATATTTGTTGATTTTAGGATTGCTTCCACTTATGAAACTGCTTTGATGCGTCATTATTACAATGGACGCACAGAAACCCTTAGATCTTGCACTAATGAAGTATACAATTTTATACAAATTGCACGTAATACAAATTCGTCAAAAGCAGAAATTGTTAATGCTTTTCGCAAAGCCGTCAATCATCATAACCATATGATGAATGAAGCCCGCAAAGGGCATGGAATTGACCGTCATTTGTTCGGTTTATGGTGTACAGCTTACGAAAATAAAATTGATATACCAGATTTCTATTCAGATCCACTATATTTGAAATCAGGGGGTGGTGGTAATTTTGTCTTATCTACCAGTACTTTGGGTTATTCAGTAAATGTGGGCTTCGTTGCACCTATGGTGTTGGATGGATATGGCGTCTTTTATACCATAACAGGAGAACAGTAAGTAGAAAGTTTGTTTTGTTAAATATGTGTTTTATATTAATAATGTTTTTTGTTTTTAGCATTTTTATACAAACTTCTGCTTTTCGTGATAGTCAGAAAACTAGTGCCCACAAATTTAATCAACACTTTATAAATGCATTCCGTAAAATGAAGTCATTACTAGAAGAAGTGTCACAGTCAAAACTATAATCCAGTGTGTAAAGTTAACCATATTAATATACATATGTAGTTGTAAGTAGTTTAAGTTATATGTATAATTGGTGCCGTGCAATAATTACAAATCTGAGTGTATAATATTTTAATATTTTTTGAATTTTGAAAATACCAATAATTGTCTACTTTTATAATTTAAGATAAATTTTAATATATTCATAGGCATATCCAGTTTAATCGAGTGTGTATTTTTTATATTATCTGTATTTATCTACATGAAATAGCATTTAAATAAATTTGTATAAAAATATTATGTTATAACTATTTTTTATAACTCTTTATTTAACTGGCTCTGTTATATTCTAAGTAAGGTTAAACATTTTGAACCATTTCGAAAGTTCGAAGTTCAGTTTAAATTTGTAAGTTCTGAAAATAATCTCTAGATTAGAAAGATTTTTAATGTTTGAAAATTTAAATCATCTCTAAAACATGTTAAAATAATCTCTTAATTTTGAGGATTCATAAAAGTTTTAAAAACAAATTCGAAATATTTATGAATTTCTTTTAAACAGTTTTTTTAAAGCATAAAAATATTGTTAAAATGTAAAAAAATTTTTATCTTATTTATTATTTTCAAACAATTTTATTTTAAACGAAAACCATTTTATGTCTTTATCGCAAAGTCTATATTCGACTTTTAACCTTCTCAAAAATTCGAATTAAAAAAAATCAACTCTCCACAAAAAAATAACGCATTCAATAGACTTCACGCAATAAAATATGCTTTTTGGAACAAATTAGTATAAAAATATAAATAAACCTTTGAAAAAAGTATACTTTACTAAAGTATTGAACAGCGCTAAGTTCGAAACTGGAATCAGGATTTATCCGTTTTAAATTAAAAATTTACTCGAATTCAGTTTACAGACAAAAACAAAAAACTCTTTATAAAGACCGTTTATTAAAATCGTTCATTTTATTTAATTTTCAATTATTTAAAACATTCATTTATAATTAAATTTCAATATTATTTAATTCAAAATTCATTTTAATTTATATTAATAACTTCATTTTTTTTTGCTTCAAAATACAGTATGTATATAGAAAGGGTATTTAATTATACATATAGACGTAATGCTTAATTTTTCTTCTTAATTTTTTACTTCGAAATCGTGCTAACAATTATATTTTTCTTTATCTGGTTTGTAAGTGATAGCACAGTGTTATTAATAAAAAGTACATAAATTTTAAATTATGTATAGAAAATTATTTAAATGAAAATTAAACAAAGAAAAAACTATAAATTAAAATATGAAAAAGCATAGAAATGATTTTTTAGAAGATACAATTAGATTTAAATAGTTAAATATAAAAAATAATAAAAAAAAGAATGGTTAGTTCAATACAATATAAAATAATAAAAAATAACAAAAAATTTTAACTAAAAAAGGAAGTTCACATAATTTCTTTTTTCAAAAAAGGATACAATTTACAATTGAAAAGCAGCAGACTTTTGTTTTAGACACAGGAATTATTTTCAAAAAATCTTTGTTTGAAATGATATTTAAAATTAGATAAGAAATCAAACATGAAAGTTTATATTTTAAAAAATTAAATGGATATTAGACATTTTTAAAGTAAAAAAATCCCCAATATTCAATCTTCTCATAAATTTATTCAAAATAAAAAATTAAAACATATAAAACTAACTGCCTCATAGTACTTAGTAGCAAGATGAGTAATTAAAATATTATGATCTGAATTTAAACAGCAACGATTGCATGTCATTCTTAAAATGAGTGATTGAGTGAATTTCGTAGATATTAAATTATACACAAATACATTTATACTTATCTAGTGCATGACCAAAGGTCATTTCTAAAATACAAATTTTAAAAACAAAAGTTTTGATAATTTTTAGCAAGAAACATTATTTGGACAATTTAATATAAAAAATATTATTTTCAGATTTCTTAAAAAATATCATTTCAATGTTAAAATTTCTTGAAAATAAATCTAGTTTGTGTTGAGGGAGATGGATTATTATTAGTAGTTTAATGATTTTGTTAGATTTTTTTTAATGTTTTTGCAAAAACATTTTTGGTTTTTTTGGGTTTTCTTCAATAAAATTTACGTTTGTTAATTAATAAATTTATATTATTATTATTATTATTGTTGTTATTATGATGATTATTATGTTGTAGTTGTTGCTGTTGGGTTAGAAAGTTATGATGAGAATGTGGATGATGTTGTTGTTGATGCTGATATTGTGTATTATAATAATAACTTTTCTTTTGTTCTCATTCTTGTGCTGATATTTGATTATTATTGCTGCTTTCAGTGGTGGTGGTAGTAGTTGTTGTAGTATTAGTTGTGGACGATGATGCAGCAGTGGGAACATTTGATGTATCATTAGGGGCTTTATTGATATTTTCTGTTGTTACTAGCGCATTGTTATCCTGGGATGAAGTGTTGGCGGTATTTGAATTTTCAGCTGCTGTGGCATCTGTAGTTGATGCGGGAGTTTTTGATGATGTATTGTTTGTAGTTGTTGTTGTCGTTGTTGTAGCCGGAGGGGGCTGGAAAGCTGGCCTCTGAACAAACATGTTGTCTATAATATGATCGATATTTTCGGCTGAACCAATGGGGGGTTGATTTGAGCTCGACTGTTGATTCGTTGACGATTTGGAATCGTTGTCGGTTTTGGAGTCTTGTGATTTCTGTTGCTTGTTCTTTTCGGAAGGTGGCAGTATGGGAATAGCATTGGTAGGTCTTCTTTGGGGTAGAGAGACGGGACGTGAGGATGTTTGTGTAGGAGGTGGTACAAAGTAAGTAGTTCCTCCTACGGTATTGTAGTTTTGGTAGCCAGCTGTCGTTGCTGCGCCAGCTTGAGGCTGTGTTACCACACCCACTGGAGCCGATGGGCCATAAGCTGTAGCAGCAGCTACTGACTGTTGTGGAGCATTGTTAGGATTGTTATAAACTAAACTGGCCGCTGCTGCAGCTGCTGCAGCAGCAGTTTGTTGTTGAGCCAAATAATTGGGATTTGCTTGCTGTGCGGCATATGTGGCAGCAGCTTGCGTGGCTTGCGCTGTAACAGCTGCAGTAGCTGCTGCCGTGTAAGCATCTGGAGTTGCTACATAATAAGCAGCCGGCGAAGCTGTTGCTCCTGGGTATGGCTGTTGGGGCTGAGCTTGAGGTCCTTGAGCCGCATAGTTGGGTTGTTTAACTACTGCAGGTTGTTGAGTAACTTGTAAGGCTTGCATTTGAGCCTGTAGGTTTTCTTGATGATACATTTGCATGAGATTCGCTTGTAACATGGCTTGATCTGCTGGCATCATCATAGATGAGTTTTGTTGCTGCTGTTGTTGAATATGCATTTGTTGCTGCAATTGCTGTTGTTGGTGATCGGCTATATGCTGAGCATCATGCTGAGAACGTCTCAGACTGGAATATCTCTTAGGTGGTCCCCTTTGCTCCATTGGTTGTTGACTGATATTCTGATTTTGTGGCTGTTGTTGTTGATTTGTTTGTGTTCCAGCCATTATTATATTTGCCGCCTGCTGCTGCATTAATTGATGTTGTTGTTGCTGCTGGTTTTGGGTAGCCATAGCGTGCATTTGTACACTGCCTACATGACTGGGATCATTGCGATTTTGGACCTGCTGCAAACGTTGCGATAAATTTGATGTTGGTTGTTGTGGTGCCTTGTTTTGTATTTGAGGATTTTGTCTGTTAATTCCATGATTAGGCATAGGCGACTGTTGGGACTGCTGCTGTTGATGATGAATTTGTTGTGGCGCTATATTTGAATGTTGTTGTGCAGCTTGTATAGGTTGATAACCTTGTTCCAAATGTTTCTTTTTATTGTTATTATACCCATCGTATTGCTGAGCCTGCTGAACGTTTTGGTGACCCATAGACTGATTGTGATCCTTGGTACCAGCACTACCATTAGTAGACTTTCTGACCACATTTTGAGTCTGCTGTTGATTTTGCTGGGGTTGCCTTTGGGCCTCCAAGCGACTGGATAAATTACTGGAATTCATATTGGACGATCCAGTTGAAGAATTTTGATAGTTTTGTCTATTTTTCTGCTTAAATTCCATGGCAGCTTGGCGTCCTACAGAAGCTTGATTTTGTCCTTGACCGCGATTGTTATATGACTTTTGACGGTTTTGTTGCTTATAACCAGCTTCGTTATTCCTATCAGCTCTTTCTCTTCTGTCAGGTTCTCCTCTATGATCGTGGTCATCGTTATGATGACTACGTGATGATGGTCCCATTTTCTCAGACCTTTCCGTTCTTCCCTCGCCGGTTTTGCCTTCGCGTTTTCTCCTTTCCATGCGATTTTCTTTCTCCTCTCTGGTACGCCTAGTGCGCCTGGGCTTAGAATTTTCATTTAATGCTGGGAAATCTGACGGTTTTGGTGGTTTACGCTCCTTATTATTGGTCTTCAAGTAGGCACTTTCGTCTTCCCAATTACGATTGTATTTACTGGGCCCACGACCGTAACGACGTCTTCTGCGTGCCTTAGGAGGGGCATCTTCAGTACGAATATCGTAGCCATAGGCATTTACCAGTTCAGTTCTAGACTTAGGAGCCTGCTCCGAAGGATCAAAACGATCGTGTGACCAACGATCTACAGCCGAAGCTGGTTGCCATTTTTTCATGGTTTTAGAAGCAGTTGAAATTGTAGGCGTTGTAGATGTTTTCGAACCTGATACACTACCAGTCCCACCAGTAATAATTACTGGACTTTCACCAACCTCTTGACCTTCTCCAACAACTCCCTCGCCCTCCACTTCAGCCGTACGGTCATCGTGTTCATAGAACGTACCTCTTTTGGGAATATACTGGGGATTACTACGATCTTCATCAACTTTCTTTTGAGCCTCAGCATCAATTTTTTCTTGACCCTGCAAATCGATATCGACACCTTCGTCATCTTCCTCTTCATCATCGTCCGTTTCGGTCTCATCTTCACTATCTTCTTCGTCATCATCATCTTCCGTTAAACTATCATCCATATCATCGTCATCATCATCGTACTCCTCATTACCCTCCAAATCACTGGCCGTATCGTACTCTGAATCGTGAGGATGTGAATTGCTCGATTTCTCTTGTGTGGGGGATGTCCCCAATTCATTCAGAGTCTGGTTACCTTCTGCGGTAACCTCACTTACCGTACCACCTCCTCCTGCACCAATTGACTTTCCAAAAGTTCCCTGCGTTGTAGGTATATCAGTTGGTGTTACCGCTACTGTGCTCGCTGTTGTTGTTGTTGCTGCAACAGACACTCCTGAGACATTTTCTACATCGGCCATTATTTTTTATTTCTGATATATTGCTATATTTCTTTAGGCTGCTCTTGTTTCGATTTTTCTACTATGAATGTCCGTCGTAGTGCTTCTTCTTTTTACTAAAGAATTTTCATTATATTTTTTATTACAAATTTTCAAACTTTTTATATAACCCCTAATAATTCCAATATCAAATTAATAATTACCTTTATTTAAGTTTCTTAGACAAATTAATGTTTTCTCTCAATGATTAATCTATTTAAATTGCTTTTTTCTATGGTTTTTTCGGTGAAAATTTTTAGGTGTTTTCTTCCAACAACGCAATCACCAAAATCGCAGAAAAATAGAAAGTAAGAAAGTTAAAAAGTGGCAGAATGATGATCAACGTGAATAAAACAATCGATTAAAGAAAAACAACGACAAAACATAATAACAGCTGTTGTGTGTGTGGTGAGTTTTTATTGTTGTACAAAAACCATATAGTGAAATTGCAAGATTTTTTATGTTAAAACGTGAATGATACAGTGGTATAAATGTATGTATGCATAAATAAACTTTGGGAGAAACTATAAAAATAAAACAAGAAAATTATATTTTTGTGTGCATCTATGTTACAGTACACAGTGGGGCAAAATCAAAATTTTTTGACATTTGGCATTTTTAAACGGCCGGACCGATTGGATAAAATTTCGTATCCAAGGAGTAAAATGCACCGGGGTGGCGCTATGTTGGTTCAAAATAAGATAACTTCTACATTTAACATTGCTAAACGCGGGCCATTTTTTTATATTCCATCCGATTTAAAAGATATTTATATATTTGGAAAGCATTTGTCTGCGCTAATTATGTCTTAAAATTTCCGATTTATAGGCATTTGTAAATAAAAGATTTAAATTTTTTGTATCATTTCTTTTTTAAATTTATGACGTAAAATTGGACCGAATTAATAATAATATACAAAACATTTATGGATCAAAAAATGATAGATTTTTGCTGTCTTTTGGGTGAAAAGGTTT